CTCCTGACGATTTTCACTGTTGTCAGCTTCCTATACCCACTTGGGCAGCAGGGGCCGCAGCTTACACATTACTGAAACTGAGCTGCAGAGCCTCAAAATGACAGATGGTCGTTTGGCTAAACACCTTCCCAAAGAGAAGCCCCCAGGTGAGTCCCACATCTGCCTGAGTATATTCCAGGGTGATCCTCTTCTGCTCCAAAAGCTTGGCCAATTGTTCCAGGTCTTTCTGCAGAGCTTTGACGTCCCAGGATTCCTTGGGGGTTTGCTCCAGTTTCTCCCTTTCCAGCTTCACAGTCCCAGGTGGGGCAGTGCAGGGCTAGGGGGAGGCCCCCTTGGAGTTGCTCTCCACCCCAGCTCCCCACTCACCCTCCACCTGAGAAGTCTTCAGGACGCCTTGGGGCACTAGCCCCACTCCAACCTGAGGTCCACAGTACGCCATTCCCCTGCAGAACTCATACTGAGGGTTGGGGTGGGGTGGGCACAGGGAATCCCCCCACACCTCCGTGCCTGTCCCAACCTCCGGCCCAATTCTTTTTTTTTTTTTTTAATGATTTTATTTATTTATTTGACAGAGAGAGAGAGACAGAGAGAGAGGGGACACAAGCAGGGGGAGTGGGAGAGGGAGAAGCAGGCTTCCCGCCGAACAGGGAGCCCAATGTGGGACTCGATCCCAGGACCCTGGGATCATGACCTGAGCCGAAGGCAGACGCTTAATGACTGAGCCACCCAGGCGCCCCCTCCGCCCAATTCTTGACCTGCCAGGAGGGGCTTGGAAGCTCAGCAAGGTCCGAGGGTCAACCCAGCAGGGCTCTGGCCCTCCCAGCATGGTGTCAGAAGCCAGGTGTCTTGCCATGTGGAAGAGGGGCACCCCAAACCAGGGACCTGGAAAGATGAGGGCTCTCCAAAAGACTCTAAGATTTTTCTTGATGGGAAAAAAAAGTAGTATTTCAGTTCTAACCTAACTGATCGGTATTTAAAATACAGCAGTTCTTCTCTCAAGATGTATGAAGGAACTTATAATCAGACAAATTTTACATATTGCAAATTAATACCGAGAGACATAAAACTCTGGGGTCTGAGTTTTGTTCTGCATCTTGTAATAACCCAAAATTCATAGGCATTATAGTTTTCATTATAAGACTTAAAAAAAAAAAAACTTTCTTTATGGAAAATTCAAACATTTCTAAAGAATAGACAGTAGCAGACTCAACAGATCCATCACCCAATTTCACTGCCATTTCAGTTCTTGTTTCATATATATTCCTCCCTCAATTCTGCATTTTGAAACAAATCTGAGATGTCACATCTATAAATATTGTAGTATGTATCTCTAAAAGGACTCTAAAAACATAACCATGTAACATAACCATTCTAACACTACTAATAAAATAATCCATTAATTAAATCAAATATCCAGGCAATGTGCAAATTTCCCTAATTTTTTTCAGTTTGTTCAAGATCCAAGAAATGTCCATACACTACTACAATTCGTTGATATCTCTCTCTCTCTCTTTTTTAAAGATTTATTTATTTATTTGAGAGAGAGAGTACATGAAAGGGGGGAGGGTTAGAGGGAGAAGCAGGCTCCCCGCTGAGCAGGAAGCCCGATGCGGGACTCGATCCAGGGACTCCAGGATCATGACCTGGGCCGAAGGCAGTCGCTTAACCAACTGAGCCACCCAGGCGCCCCGTTGATATATCTCTTAAGATTTATTCTTCCCCTCTCTTTTCTCCTCCTTGTCTCTGTCTCTCTCTCTCTGCAACATACTTGTTAAAGAAGCCAGGTTATTTATTGCGTCGAAACTCCCACATTCTGGATTTTTCTTATTGTTCCTCTATTTTGTTACTTAACACATTCCTCCACCTATCTATCTTATAAACTGGTAGTGAGGTCTAGAGACTTCATCAAATTCAAATTCAATTTTCAACAGAATTCTTCATGGGTGGTATGATGGTTTTAGCACACATTTACAAATTCTTTGACCACTTCTCCTGTGAAAAGGTGGAGGAGCCTAACTCCTCTCCATCTGAATGCGTGCTGGCCTTAGTGACTAGTTTCCCACAAAGTGAGGTTGTGACACAACTTCTGTCTGGCTCTCTGTCTGGACACATCCTTAGAACTCAGATACCATGCTGCTAAGAAGTCAAGTAGCTACACCGGGGGGCCATATGGAGGTGTTCTAGTCACAGCTGCAGAGAAGGTCTCTACCGAGAGCCAAGTTCCACAGCCAGACATGGGAGTGAACAAGCCCTTCACATGATTCCAGCCCTTACCCTTCAAGCAGGCTTGGCCAACACCATGTGGAACAGAAAGAAACTGTCCAGCTCAGTCCTGCCCAGGTTGTACATTCATTAAGAAAATAAATGCTGTTGTTTTATGCTTTGGGGTAGTTTACAATGCAGCAATAGATAACTGTTACACAGCTGGTATTGTGTACTTCCATCAGGATGCATATATTAGCTTATTTATTTTTATGATGCTAGCAACCATTGATGATCATTGCCTAGATCTATTAATTCATTAGAGGCTGTAAATAGTAAAACTCCAATTCTATCATTTTATCTTCCTTCATTGTCTAAAACACATCTATAATAAAAAAATTTCCCTTCATCAATTTTTACTTATCCTGAAGTAAGGTCAGCATAATTCTGAGAAATCTTGTTGACTTCCATTACATTTGTTCATGGATACTTGTTGTGGACATCTAAATGAATGACAGAATGGCCACTAATTCCGTCACAAAAATAGTTTACAACAACCAGACTATCCTATGTGCCTTTTGGGTATCTTCCCACATGACTGCAGTATATGGGAATGAATCAGGAAGAGGGATGGAGAACAACCACACAACAACTTTAGAGCCCCAACAGCCCGGAACCAGGTGCCTGATGTAAGTTAAATGGAAAGATATTCAACAGGGCAATGGTCTGTCATAATACAGACAGACAATAAAGAGAAGCCAGGCAAATTTCTGGGCCATCTATAAGGAAGAGTTCCTCAGACAACAAAGAGACCAAAAAGAAAAAAAAAAAAAGAAAAAAAAAAATTCCTAAGCAAAAAAAGGGTTAAGAAAAGAGTGAAATGATAAAGGGCTTTGTCACTGCATTATAGTACATAATTAGGTAATTAGAAGTATTAAAACAGACAAAGCATTGGGCCCAGATGAATAACTGGAGATGCAAGTATTCAATAAGATGCCCCAGGGGGAAAAATAAAGCCCTTGGTGAAGGTTTATAATCATGCAGTAGGACAGAGAAGCACACAAGGACTTGAAGGAACAATAACTGATGTTATGCCCGTACTTCAAAAACAGAATTTCAAAACAAGTATTCATCCAAAATATAAAATGAGCTGATGGAAACTCCCTAGAATACTATTAAACACCAAAATAATGATAATACCTTCTTCTGGTTTATTGTTTTATCAAAGAAAAAGTGGAAAATCAAGCAAAAACCGTCAAGAGAAGCAATTTCATACAGAATGAAAGCAGGCATACTTTTTCTTCTTGTGCTCCCTGTTTTGGTTGATGATTTCACCACTCTCCCTATTCAACCAAATCTGCTTTCTTGTCTCTGCAGGCACACAGCTGGATTTAATTTCTCAGCTTCTTTCTCAGTGAGCTGTAACATGTGACCGAGTGTTAGCCAATGAAATGAGAGTGGAAGTGATGTATGACCACAAAATGCAACCCCCACCTCCACTTCAGTTGGGCCCCATACACATTTTTCCATCCAGCTAGATAGAAGAAAAAGGTCATCCGGGAGGCTTGGGAAGCTACCTGTGGACTATGGTGGTTTTAAAAATACATGTGCAAATTTTTTAGAATATTCTCCTCTCTTGGATTGCTTGCTCTGGAAGTAGTCTTCTCTGGAAAAGGAACTTAAGCAGTCCCATAGAGAGACCCACATGGAGAGGAACCAATATGGATCCTCCAGCCCTAGTCAAGCCTCCGGATGCCTGCACCTCCAGTTCATATCCGACTGCAATCTCGGGAGACTCCTACGCCAGAACCTTTTCGCTAAGCTGCTCTCCAACCGCTGATATGCAGCAACTCTGAAATAAAGGATTATTGTTCCAATTCACTAGGTTTTGGTCAACTTATTATGCAGCTACAGATAACTAATACAGGTTTAGATACCTGAATCGGGGGTGTTTTTAAAAAACCACAGAATACATGGTAGGAGTGCCTATGCGACTGGGCAGAAGCTGGAAGGACCTTGCATACAGCACCAGTGAAGTATTAAAGGATATGAAAAAGGCTGCTAGCAAAAGACAGACCGTGAGGAGGCAGCCAGTGAGGGCTTAAATGAAAATAAGGAAAATATTATAGGAAAAATGGAGGCAGAAGCTTCCTTATTACAGAGCAGCAACATGGCAGCCTCTAGTTATACAGAAAATAGAAAATGTACCACATAAGCTCAGTGACCTAGCGAGGGAGCTATCCAGGCAGAGTGCTGAAGGTGCTGCCTGAGTTACACTTGACTTACAGTAGAATGAAAGAGGAGAAAAGCAAAAGGAAGAACTAGTAAATGTAAAGGTTCTAGGACTCTGAGAATAAAACTTCTTCTCATTCTCAGCCTCTCTATTCAGCAAATGATGCCAACGTTACAACGCTGCTTCTGGGCAAACATCAAATCTAAAACACATTTAAAAAAAAAAAAAAAAAAGGTCTAAAGATGAAACCAAGGGACCGAGTGTAAAATCTTTCATTAAGATCCCAGAAAGCTCTAAAGTGGTGCCTCATAGAACCCTCTGTCAGACAAGATGCCCTGATGCCCTGTAAAGATTTAAAAGCATGCCTCACAGAGCCTTTAGCAGTTGGAGGTCAGGGATGGTGCTGCACATCCTATATTGCACACGACAGCCCCTCACAACAAAGAATTGGTCCAAAATGTCAATGCTCCCGAGGTTGAGAAACTCAGCATTAGAGTATATCAGCCTAGAGGGCACACACCATATTTACTTAATCTCTTTCTGAGTAAGATTTACAATAACTCACCGATGTTTCCATCTCCTGTTTGCTCCACAGAGTGCTCTGCATACAAAAGGTATTCACTTAATATTTCTTGAACTGAGAAAGTATTAAATCTAGGCAAACAACGTTAACATAAAATATTACAGAGTTGTGGAAAGACTAGGAGTCCCAGGCATTATTTCCATTCTGGCCATTAACAAATTATATTTTCTTAAGTCATATTCTTTTTTAGTTTCAACTTTCCAGGTTTGCAAACTAAAGAGATTTAATTAGATGACTACCAATAACACAAATGCCTATTATGGGTGCCAGATACAAAGCAGGAGAACTAAGCACTCAAGAAAATCTAGGAGAGAAAACAGACAATTTTGCAGATTGATTAAAGGGAGATAATTACAATAAAATGTACACGATGTATAAAAGAGTAAAACAGGCACCATTTTCTTTATCAGGACCTTCAACTTCCATGAGAGTAGCTAGTACATAGTCATTTCTCAAGTAGTATTTGTTGAATGAGTGAATAAAATCCACAAACCTACAAACAAACCAATGAAAAATAAAAATGAAATCTACAGACTCAAGGACTGGAGGTGGGAAGGTGAAGCAGAAGAAAGGCTGGGGCAGAGTTCTGCAGTCATTGTTTCTCCAGTTAATAAAGACAAGAGCAATACAGCTTTCACAGGCCACAAATTGAAGGTGAATACTGATTTTAAAATGTTAAAAAAAATGTAGAAATCTGTTGTGATGACAACAGGTAGAATCCAGCCTAAGAGGATAGCAGAAAATCTCCAAGAGGCTAACATGGAAGGTGGGAGTTTGAAATCACCTTACAAGTGAGATAATGAAGCAGAAGGGTTATCATGACAGGAAACAGCAAAGAATGCACAGTGGGGAAAGGGCAGGTGGGGCTGGAGTCTCAGGAGATGGGATGTGTCACCATCTAATAGACATTTCATCAAAGCTTCTGTCTAGTTCTCCAATGTCCTGAGTTACACAGCAAGCCCTCGACCCCACTGCCTCCCTGCCCCCAAAACACAAAACCAAAAAACTTCCTACTCATACCATAAAGGTATAAGATTAGGAAAAAAATATATAAGTAGATAGATGCGTGCACTTTAAGTGCAAGACTCTCACAACTGAAAATACAGACTCTATTTTGCAGTTTTTCAACAATTAAAACATTTTAAAGTAACTCAAAGCATTTACCCTTGAAGTACTAAGGTAGCTTCAATTCTGAATCTGCACTTAAGTTCTGAAAAGATTATGTTCTACTACTATACTGGTTATACCTGGTAGGAACACTTTAGGATGAACTATTACTTGACCACCCACCAGACTTGACTTCTGAACCTTCTTTAATATGTGATCCCACAACTATACACAGTGCTGAAAAACCTGGCTTAACAGAGAGCAAGGAGGGTCTCAAAAGCAAAACCTCCTCCGGTCGGCAGCTCACGGTGCTCTCTCCGCGCTGCCACTACATGCAGCGCTGCTTCCAAGTCCCGAACGTGAGGAGCATCAGGACGCTAACTGAAGCACTATGACTGTCCGTCCCGCGGCAAACACACCTACATTTTCACTCGAGTCCTAAAGAACTTTTTTCAAATTTAAAAAAATCCCGTAAATTGGCGTAAATGTGTGGTAAGAACCTGCGTGCCTAAATGGAACAGAAATGGGAAAAATACATGTCAAAAACAGGAGCAGTACAGGAAAACACATATTGCTAAATATATATATATATGCAACTATAATAATAAAATATTTTGTTTTTCCCTTAAATGTTGTCAAATGAGGCAGGACTACAGGCCATTTGACAAGAAGAATTGTTTCTTGATTTCCTGAAAATCTGTTTTTCCCCTCTTTAATATTTAAGAAACACACACACAGGTTGCCGACAACTCTTAGAGAGCGGCTTGTGTTGTCGTTTTCGCTTTCCCGGCTGTGAACAAGTGCATATGCGAGGGCTGGTCGTGCATGCACAAGCATGTACTCTGCCTGCATTAAATAAAATCACAACACACCACCAACTACATCCCCTCATTCATGTGTGCCTGCAGTCCACCTCGAGGAGACTGAAAATATAAATACAAGCTGCTATTTTGGTGTGATCACACGAATATGGCAGCTTGTGTGTTTTTCTTTTTTTCTCTTTAACATTTTAACACGGGGCAGATTGTCTGCATTAACACAAACCAAAATCAATTCTGCTCTGAAACTGCTTGTAAAATCTTCCTTCCCTAAGGAATTTGTTTTTTATTTAAGTAAAAAAATGGGCTTGGAGGAAACTATATAAAAGAGACCAACATTTAGGACATCTTAACTTTGTACAGTGTGGCAAACAGTGTTGGACCAGAGGACTGGCAGTTATTTCTCTCCAAATGGGAACTTTGGAGAAGATGACTTTAAGAAAAATTTTAAAAATCAGTTAAGTTCACCTTGTAAAATTACTTTTGTGTATCATTAATATAGGAAAAATTTGCGAAGTAGTCTAATTTCAAGTTGTCTACTACCATGTAAGTTAATAACTAAATTCGACTAGAAACTCAGATGAGACTTGTATATCGTAAAAATTCATGGAGGTACTCTTAAGGGCAGAGGAAGGAAATAAAAGTTAAGTATTGAGCACAGACCATATCTAAAAATTCACTATGAATAAAAAGTAAAATGCATTCATATCATATACAAATACATAACAACAAATTATCTACACAACACTGCCCAGTAAAACTTTTTATGATAGAAATGTTCTATATCTGTGTTGTCCCATCCAATAGCCATTAGCACTTGAAATAGGACTACTGTAAATTAAGATTTAATTTTTAATTTTACTTAATTTAAATTTATACAGCAATATGTGCCTGGACAGCACACATCTATAATTTTAAAGCGGAATTTTAGCGATTATTAATGAATCCAAAAAATATTAAATTATAAGAAAAAACTGAGAAGACAAAGTTTGCTTATATCAATCCTATCTAAAGCTTGATCCATATATAAACTATAACCAAAAGGAAGCACTAACATGAGAAAGTTGAATTCTTAGAGATCCAACCATATCATGGAGAGTGAAGTAGGAAAGAAGGTAACTAACTGATGAACAGAGCGGCCTGAAGTGCTACTGTAACAACATTACAATAACCAGAAACATAAAAGACCAAGAACTGAAGAGGTTGACTACCATATCCAACAGGCAATCAGATAAACTTTAAATACAGTCAAAGTTACAATGATAATAGTTAAAGAATTTTAATCATTTAATTCAAGAGAGAGGAAAATGCATCTGAAGAAAGAGTGATACTGTTCATAAACAGCTTATAAATGTTAGGTTGCAAATGACATTATATACACTACAAATATCTTTTAGAATAGACCCTGATAGACCAAATAACAGACTTCTCTGGCGTTTAGTATGGAAATGATATTTTATTCTGAACTCAGTATTTCCCATCATTTTAAGTAATACTTTATTTCATTTAATGTTCCAGCCTTTGAAGCGTGGCAAAATTGGTTCAGAATGGACAATTCAAGCTCTAAATTAGAAATGCTGTAAATTAGAAGTTCCTTGATTTACCTTTTGATTATCAGTTTTTTTCAGTAATAAAAATGAGAACAGTAACAACCTCATTAGGTTGACATAAGCAACAATTAATTGAAATGAATACAAAACCCTCTGAGGCAAAAAAGGGCTAGCAGAATAAAGGAATATTAAAATTAGTTGAGGAGAAGATAATATTTAATACATATTCAGATCAAATAAATTCAATAATGATGGCAACAACATGGCTTATGAGATGAAATTATCTTGTTTAAACTTGGACTAGAAGGCTAATAACAGTATTTTTTTTCAAAGCGTGCTATGTCTCTAAAGACTAAAAATGTTAAAGATTGTTACTACTAAAATTGAACAATACAGATCATCAGTGATAAGAATCACAATCCATGAGCCTTTATTAAGCATCAACTTGACTCTGCAGTGGCACAAAAACAAGATCAGGTCCATGCCCTTTAAGGGCTTACCAGTAGATCTGAAAGACGAGACCTGGGCTAACATCAAAGTGCTCATACATACTCTTTCCATAATAGCACCAGTTATCTTGTACCGTAACTTTTTTTGGCTGCTTTCTCTATTAGACTTTGAGATTCTTAAGGGTCCATGACATATTTATCTTGGCATCTCCAGTGCCTGGCACTCTGAGGAGATTAATATAAATGTACTAAATACATTGGCAGATTGAATACACTGGCGGGTCTAAGTAAATATAGGACCCAACGAAATTAAGTAATATCATCAAAAAGTTATTAAGAAATTCTACTAGAATACAGAATAGGCACATATCATTTCCAATTGTAAAGACTGGAAAATGCGTCATGAACAGTGTGGTGATGAACTCAAGCCTTTAAAAATGAGTTTTCAGTAATCCAAAAGGGAGCAATGGGGAGAAACAGCATTCCAAGAGAGGACAAGCAAGTAATGCAAAGCATGGAAAATGGAAAACACAAAATCCATTCAGGAAATAATGACACAGCACCGATCTAACACAGAACTGTGGAGGGACTTCAGATTTCTGGTTCTGCATATAAAGAACCTGGACATCACTACTCCTTCCCAACAAGTAAAAAGCTGAGCAGACTGAAAAATCAACAACTCTTCTTGGATCTATAAGAGAGTGGAGGACACAGGGCAAACAGGCAAATATAGGGAGTCACAACTTACCAGAGCAGAACTCATAAGCAAAATCCCTGAAAGGAACCAATGCAGGATAGGAAAACCTGAACAATACTTAACAAATTGCTAGAAGCTCAGTATGGACAACTCTGAGAGTTAAATACTCCGAGGGACCCAATAATAGGGAGGACCCCCTGAACACCTCCAAGAGCTTGACCAGGCTTCCAGAGTAAATATCAGGAAAAAAAATCCCCTCAGCTTCCAGTATGGGGGTGGGGGTGGGGGGGTGGAGTCATTCTGAACACAGCACTCTGTTCTTAACAAAACCTACCCTCAAAAAACAAAAAATAAAAACAAACACAAACAACAACAACAACAACAAAAACCTGCCCTC